ACCCTAAACCCTATACCCTAAACGGACCAGCCCCTACAGTCAGAGGCTGGCAAGCTCAAGCTGATCGATGCGGAGGTCTTCTGCTCTTCGAAGGCTCCAGCGTGTGGGTTTGGGGGTGTAGGGTTTAGGAGGGTCTATTTAGGGTTTAGGGCTAGATAAATTGCGATAGTATCGGCTCATCCCTAAATTCGAAATCTTAAAACCTAGGCCCTAAACCATCGTTGTTTGTTTGTGTGCAGGATTCCAGGGAGTGGTACATCCAACTGCGCTGGCGGCCTTTCCCGCTTCAAGGCACAAGAAGCAGATGACAAGGGGCCTCAATTAGGGTTTATATGCGGTTCATCAAGTTTCATAGGTGTTACAAGGATTTTGCATGGGTTCCCGACATGTAATTAATTCTGGGTCAGGTCATGGTGACGTTTTGGAGTGCTCATAAGAAGGATACTACTGTTTGGCGCTACAGATACTAATGACCAAGCGTTCTACACATCTATTCTGGTGGTCCCATCTCGGTGCAAGACGACAAGCTATTTGCAGTGATCATATGTGTGTGTATATATATATATGTATGTACCTAGTATAGTAGTAATACTACATGAAATATATAAATCATTCTTTTCGGGTTCACTGTACGCTTTCGTTTTAGGGCTCAGGGTCGAAGTTTCATCTTTGCGCCCAGAAGTCCAAGGCGGCTACATAGGGTCATGCAGGAACTTGGTACTTTTGGGAGCTAGGATTAGGGGGACCCTTGGGGATATAGACCCTCTCAATAAGGTCCCTTTTAAAAGAGCCAGAAGTAGGGTTCAGAAGGGGTACCCTTTAAGAAGTACCCCTAATAGTACTACCTAACTTTTATCCAGAAACCTCAACCTATGCCCTAAACCTAACACCTACATCTTCAAGTTTAGGGTTTAGGGTTTTGGGGGCGTTTAGTGTTCAGGGTTTGGTCTGGGACATTTTCAGGTGGGTAGTTACCGTTGTAGGAGCCATACAGAAGGTCTATATACCTTATGCAAGCCTTATAGAAGCCCTATCGACCCTAAACTCCCCACCTGTAGTTTCCTTTAGCTTGGCCAAGACACCGTTGGTTAAAAATCTGAGATATAACTTTTCAGGGCTTTAGAAGTTTGCGACATGACCAGATCCATAACCTGGCGATCCCTCTTGAGAATGGTCAGTTCATGCGACACCAGATTCTTGCATGAGGGCCCTTTTGAAAGAATTCGCACCCTACTGTTGATGATACAAATCCTGCATTACCTTAAGGACCCCAAACTATGGAAATTACGGTATGTTCCTGATTATGGGTAATGCAGGATTTTATATCATGAACCGTAGTACGCCCGAAACCCCAAATCGGGGCTTTCCTTCCGTGACAGGTGACGGAGCTCAAGCTTTTCCGGCGCTGCTCACCCTGCCTTCAGAGTTTCAGGTGTCGAAAGCTCAGTGGCTCGGGTACAGGGTTTCGTGTTTCGATTCATGAAGTTGCAGGGAAATAAGGAGCATGCCCCCCTGGCTGGCTGTGCTCAGATGTTGCAGAGGCACAGCATATGCCACGATGCCTAGCACGCCCCGAGTCTTGCAGATTCTTGAAGCCGCGACGCGGATGGCCAATTCTGCGAGCATCCACACACCGTGCGAGAATCCGAGATTCATCGTATGTGGACACTGACATGCACCCTAACCCTGAACCTTAAGCCCTAAACCCTGAACCCGAAACCTTAACCCTAAACCCTAAACCCTAAGCCCTAAACCCTAAACCCTAAACCCTAAACCCGAAACCTTAAGCCCTGAACCCCGGTTTGCCCTGCCGCTGCTCCTTGTTCCTCAGGTCCTACTCCGTCTTGTCCGAGCGCCCCTGCGCGGAGGCGCAGGACAGGGTTTAGGGTTTAGGGCTTAGGGTTTAGGGTTTAGGGTTTAGGGTCCCGTTGAACGCCATAGGGGCAGTTCTCTAAATTAGGGGCCCTGTTAGTGTCCTTTTTTGCGCCGTACTACATTGGGACTTAAAAAGAAACCCTAATTGAGAGAACTACCTATATCTCTACATCTTTTTTTGCATAGTATAGGCGACTACAAATTGGTTGAATGCAGTATAGAAAAGTCTGGACTAGAATAGACCAATCTAGTATACACAGATAAAGATAACTAAGTTATAAACAAATAAGTTTTTATGTATTCAGTTTCATAGTGCAGAATAGGTTAGTACGTATCATGCAGTGGCTCTTCGGTTGCGGCCTGTGTGAAGGAGGAAGCTGCAGACTTTCTGCCTCCGTTTGTTCGTGGCTTCGCTTCCGACGGTGACGGGCTCCTGGCAGCACAGCGCGCTGAATCAGTCGTTTGCCTAGAGGCCGGCGTGGTTTAGGTTTTAGGGCCTTTGGGTTTAAGGTTTAGGGTGGCTGATCATTGAGGTGTCTCCTAACACGGTTGTATTTTACAGGTGTGATGAACTTGAACAGGGTTTTGGAGGGCATTCCATTATAAGAAAAGCAAAATTTTTCGGCGACCACGGAGGGAGAACTATTGCGAATTGGCTGTTTTTTCACCCTAAACCCTGAACCCTATACCTTAAACCCTAAACTGTTGCTAACTAGTTGTTTTTTTTCAGCGGTTGTGGCAAGTTTTGCTTAGGTCATCCTGTGGCCCCTTCCTAGGGGTTGGAATATGTCGTATCACTGTTTGGCGTTCTTCCTTCAAGATTACTGCATAATCTAAGGGCCTAAATAATTTCCTATACTCTTTTGGGGTTTCGTTTTTATAAGTAGAGTACTCCCAAAGCCCTATGTCAATTATTAAGGCCCCCATATTAATCTACCTCCCAACAACTCTACTCGAATCATCCAGGTCCCCATAGTAGGCCCTACATCCTGAACCCGCAGACCTTCAAACCTCCATCTTGGATCCCTGATACTTAGAGCATCATGGGACTTAGTAAGATGATAACTACCTTAAATGGGGGTTATACTTATTTATAAGTATAGTTACCTTATTTATAACCCTAGTTACTAAGTCCCATGGTCCTTAAGTAGGGTTTGGGGTTTAGGGGTTTAGGGTTTTAGAAGAAAGCCTTGATGGAGCCTTTTTTGGAGGATCATGGGACGTAGTAACTGGGGTTATGATTAACTATACTGAAAGTTAATCATAACTTCAATCAGGGCACTTATAGTAATAACTGTATTTACTACTGTTGATGACAAAACTCCTGCATTACCTTAAGGACCCTAAGCTATGGGAATGATGGTCTATTCCTTATTATGGGGTAATGTAGGGATTCATATCAGCAGCAAGTCCCATGATCCTCCAAGTAGGCCCTAAACCCTAAACCCCAATTATTAAAGAGCCCGTATAGAACCCTTGAAGGAGCCCTGCAAGGACGCCTTTAAGTTCCTAAGTCCCATGATCCTCGAAGTCAGGCCCCTAAACCCCTAAACCCCTAAATTCCTAAACCCCTGAACCCTAAACCTAGTTACTAAGTCCCATGATCCTCGAAGTAAGGCCCCTAAACCCCTAACCCCCTAAATTCCTAAACCCCTGAACCCTAAACCTAGTTACTAAGTCCCATGATCCTCGAAGTAAGGCCCCTATAATCCCTAAACCCTAAACCCAGGGTTTAGGGTTTAGGGTTAGGGTTGGCCCCTATATGAGTTCTTTTGCGCCGCCACGCAGGGATCGATGAGCCCCGGTGAAGAGGCGAGGAGTCTTTGCCAAGTGGGCAGTTCTCTAAATTAGGGTCCCTTCACGGTTTAGGGTTTAGCTTTTAGGGTTTAGGGTTGAGGGTTTAGGGTTTCCTTAAAGGGATCTATAAGGATTCTAGAAGGGTAGTTCTCTAAGTTAGGGTTCCTTTTCAGGTCCCCAAAATAGTACGGCACCCGTATAAAAGGACTCTAAAAGGGACCCTAGTTTAGAGAACTACCCAAATGTTGTAGCCATAAGCCTAAACCCCAAATTAAACCCTAGTCCTCAAACTGAAATCCCAATCTTACACCCCAAAGCCTTGGCCCAATCTCAACAGGGTTAAGGGTTAGGGGTTTAGGCGTCAGGGTTTGGGGTTTAGGGCCCATAAACGCCTAAGCCCCCTAA